GTCAGTCTGCCACAAGTCCTTTAACCTTGGTCATAACTTTTGAATGAGAAAGATGAGAATAATTACCTTAACAAGACCTTTCCAAATGTACCAGGTATCATGAATTTTGATCCCCTCATCTTGAAGTTTGATAAAACAAATTTAACAATTGAGAGAAGATTCAATTTGTCATGTGCATTACCTGTGTCAAGACATTTCTGAACATGCTTTTTTGGACACTGTGATTTTGAACTGGGTTTGAAATTTAAACTGCAAATCTTTCTTTTCAATTATTTTCACATTGGTAATATCTTTTGAATGTAGACAAAAAACAGAGCTTTCTTTTTATCCATGTACATTATACATACCAGTTTAACTTTCAGAAAAGTATATCATTTTTTACTTTGTTGACCATAATCTAGAATTTTTCACATTGTTAATTCAATAAAATGAAATTTATACCCCTTCTGTATGATGGTCAGCCAAGACCAGGGATGTAGCATCCTTTTTGATAAGGGGACTCAAGAGAAAATACAGTATGTATAAAAGGAAATTGTTGAAACTCAAAAATCCTATTTCACTTGGGGTAGGGGCGGGGTCTTTCTTTTGATGACTTACTGATCCAGTCTGAGTGTTTGATTGGATGGATCCAATTTAACAAAAGTTAAGGCCCTCAGACTTTGAAATTCTTATGATGAATTCACTTTTGGAGATTCTTTTTGTTATGATAATGAACTAATATTTGGTATGTCTTGATATTGATGATTTACAGATCAAGTTTAATTTCTAATATTAAATCTACCTTCCCTCTATTTTTTGTCCCCTTGCTTTCACAGAAAATGGGGGACATTAATTTGGGTCTGTCTGTCCATCCACCCATCTGTCTGTATTTCTGTCTGTAACACATTTGCTTCCATGCGATATCTAAAGAAGCCTTTGAGTTTTTGCAATGAAATTTTACATAAAAGCTTCCTATAGCTAAAGAAGATTCCTACTGAGTTTGAGGTCAAAAGCTCAAATTCATAAATCTATAAATACTGTCTGTTTTAACACTTTCATTCATGTGAAATATTGAGAAGCCTTTGAGCATTTGCAGTGAAATCTTATATACCAACTTGCTAATGACTATGGAAGACCCCTATTGATTTTGAGGTCAAAAAGTCAAAGGTCAAAAACCATACATTCTCTTTTTGTGTGAAACTTTCGATTATGGGCGATACCTCAAGAAGCTTTTAAGCTTTTGCAAAAAAAAATTTATAACATAACTCCCTATGCACCCCTCACCCCACCCCTCATAGAGTGCACCCCTTTCAACACCCCCCCCCCCCCCCACTTAGATCCACGCATGCTGTTCTTTATCTCCTTAGGAGACGACCATTTGATTCTGAGGGGGGGGCCTGGCAAATTTTTTTGAGATGGATTATTTATTTTCATGCCTGTCAAGGACAGATTATTTATTTTCAAGATTATCGAGGACAGATTATATTTTCTTCTTTGTCTTACGGTACCTTGATCGATTGAATTTGATAAAAGACTAATCATTTATATACCATAGGCGGATTCAGGATGGGGGGCGTGTATAACTTCGTTCAGGCAAGAGGTCTTGGGCCGCCTTAAGGCCCCCAGTGGGTCCTGGGCGAAGCACATGGTGGAGGCCAAGGGAGGGAAATTCCCCAGAAGCTCTTGGGTTTTCAAGTATTTTAAGAGTAAAACCAGGACAATTATAGTGGTATTGGTTATTATGTAGCAAAGTATGTCATTATTAATATTGGTCATATCATACTTTGAATGAAGGGGGTCCAGGGGGCGAAGCCCCCTGAAGCTCGTGGGTTTTTGTGTATTTTAAGAGTAAAACCAGGCACAATTATCTAGGAATTGGTTAGTTATGTTCAAAAGTATGACATAATTAATACTTAAGTCATATCATACTTTGGATGAAGGGGGCCCAGGGGGCGAAGCCCCCTGAAGCTCTTGGGTTTGTGTGCATTTTAAGAGTAAAACTAGGCACAAAAATATTGGTACTGTACTATACTATGGCAATATTAATATAATTCATATCATACTTTGAAATTTTAGGGGAGGGGTCATACACATGTATGCCTTCCTTAAATCCGCCACTGTTTACTTTGTAATTAATTTATCGGGTAGTATAATTCTTTGACAAGAAAATTTATCTTTTGTGGTGTTTAAGAATTTGCTTGTATTTAAAGTGATTCATCACATCTACTTAGTGCACATTGTCATGTTGATCAACTGACTACAAGTATCCAGTCTGGTAATCTGATTTTAAATATTATTTGGTTCTAAAATGGCGATGAAAGAAAAAAAAAATGCTGAATTGAAGATTCTGAGGTTAAAGTACACAGAAATAAAAAGGTATTTTCACAATATTTAAATATCATAAGTCAAGGTCAGATTATTTATTTTCTTTGCAGAGGAGGACGGATTATTTATTTTCAACATTTTCAGGGACAGATTATTTATTTCCAAAATCTGCCAGGCCCCCCCCTCAGAATCAAATGTTCGTCCCCTTATGCGGGAGACATGGGTTCTCTGAATAAGCTTGTCTGTTCCTTAGGGATGTGTGATTTGATCGGTATACCGATATATCGCGATTTTTTGTTGCGTGATAGGTATCGTGATACGGAGACCTAAATACTGGTATTTAGGTACAAATTATAAAGTCCAGAAATTATTCATTTAGTTGTTCAACCTGTCATGTTGTAAATTTTGAATATATCGGGTAAATTGAAAATTTATAACATGACAAACCTTTCAAATTACAATTACAGAAAGTATAAAAAATGTTGTAAAAAGTGAAAAGAATGGCATCTTACTGTCCAAACATAATTGATTTTATATACATAAAAATTTCAAGAAAGTAAAATTTTGTTTTTCTAGCATATTTTTTTAGAAAAATAGTGACTTTTCTTATAAAATCATTGTAAAAACTCCTTTTAAAAATATCATGATATTATCGTGATATTGTGGGAGACATGGGTATCTCTACGAAAAGCGATACCCATCCCTACTGTTCCTGTACATAATGATCTTTGGTTTGTCCATTTGATGACTTAAAGTTCAACTACGAGTTTTGTATTGATTTATACATTTTTACAATATATATTGCCCTATATCCTAATTCAATATTTTGGCCTGTTTTATTGCTTGTCTTGTAACTGATCACTAGTTACCAGTTAACCTATAGATTAAACAGGAATCAATACTCTTGGAACATCCAGTACTAGATTGTAGTTTTTCTCCATGCTTTGGTACTTTAGTACTTATGGTTGACAGTTACATCCAGGCCAAACTAGGTAAAAGTATCTACTTTAAAGTTCATTTTATATTCTAATCAGTCTTGCTTGTTTAAGGTTCTGTCAACAGTGACAAGACCTTATTATGTTAAGTACTATGTCCTGGAAATTGCTCTGTAGATATGTGGAATTTGTTCTTGGTTGCCATTAAGAAAAATGCCCCAAAAACCAAGATTTCCTGCTGGTTTGACCAATCACAATGAAAGTGACAACTGAGGATTATAAATAGAGGAAAATAAACTGGTGGTATGACTGATTGCTAATGACTGCCTTTTAGTCACTTTAACAGCTAAGATCATTAATTAAACTGTTACTTAATGGTAATCTTAGTACCTGCATAGAAGGTATATATAAATACTGTTTGACCTAAAAGCAACAATGTCAAATGTCTCCATCAGAAATATCACCTGTTCAGCCACTTCTATCATTTTCTGTAAATCTCTCTTTATCATGATGTGTTTTTGGCCAATTCCATCACCAGTGATGGTACCCTTCATTTTTACAATTAGATGTTTGGAAAAACTTTTTGGGGGGGCCCTCAACTCTAATTATATAGTTGTTATAACTATAACTCATATTCATCAGACAGATAGAGCATAAAATAATCTAACAGGGGTCTCACAGCTTTAAATTCATTCCTTATATAAACTAGAGAAATATTCAGTCAACACTAATGTTACTAGTATCTTGAACTCACAGTATGTACTTTGAAAGAACTTTCAAGAACTTCCAAGCTTTCAAGATACTGAGGTTTAGAAATCTGTAAATATAAAAACAATAAACAAACAACATACCCACTTCATCATATCCATGGCTTTGCAGAACAATTCATTACATGGGTGAATTGATTAATAAAAAAAATCAAGGAAATTTGTTTCCTGCTTGCTGCAAGTGTCCAAGCATAAATTAAGGGGGCCGACTTGGGATTTATTGTGTGAAAACTACAAAAGAGAAACTCTTTATTTTAATTTATACCATGTATAACTGACATTGATATCAGTGTACATGCCAAGTTTGGGGGAAATCTACCGCACAGGTATTTTTAAGGGGCCGTCTCAAAATACAGGTACATTTACTATAGGATTATATGGGAAAGTGCCAAATTTTCGCACTTTAAAGCAAATTATACAAATACTACAATAGACTTTTAGCTCAAACTATAATATATGATGAGTAATACTATATTGTACATTATATGTAAGAACCACAAAATTCTATCACCTTGTTTCCAGAGGGGGCATCTCAAAATGCCAAAAAATAACAAATTTCCTTGTTTTTATAGAGTACTACAAAATATGACGCATGCAAAGGATTTATCCAAAAAATGATAAATATGGTGGAGAGATTATCAAATTTCTATGATTTAAATTTCAAAAGCATATATTTATTACTTTTTCTTTTATAACATTTTTTATTACCTCTTCTTTGAGAGCGTCACGTTATCTAACATCAAAAACACACCATTACCATGTAAATCTACCTATCAGTTAAAAAATCATTTTAAAAATCAGTTATTTAAAATTGTAATAAAAATGTTCAACCTGTAATTTCCTAATTTTGTTTTGTTTTATTTATTAAGTAAAAAAAAATTTGCTTTAAACAGTAAAATATGCTACGTTTTACTATGATGCGTGAAATAATGGAAACCACAGTCAGCCCCCTTAAATATAGGGAGGATAATTTGTAGGGGTAGTGAAATAACAATTTTCACAGATTTATAAAAGACATGCTTTATACAAAAACAGGGAAAAATTACAAACATATAAATAACAGTATCACATATCTATAACAAACACCACTGAATGGCTACAATACATGTATAAGGTGCAGTAAAACAAACTAAAAGTAAATATATATATATATATCAAATGATACAAAGTGCCTAAGATCACAGTTTGATTCTGATTCAAGGGCTCAGATATATTCGGTAATAACATACATTGTAATAACATACATTGCACACAGAAATTATCTCAAAAACAATCTAGCAGAATAATTCATGAATCCTTAACTTGTTATGTATGTACAAAAACTTTCTGTCCTTTGTTATATAAGATGTGTTTGTGAAATATTCAAAATATGTACACAGTGACAACCCTATAATTCCAAAGCTCAATAATTGAATTTAAAAAAAATTATCCGGACTTTTAAACTCAAAATAAATATTATAAAATGACTAATGTACAATGCATTTTATTTAAGACATACCCCCAGTGAATAGGACTAAAAACTTTGAATCATGATGTCACATTCTTTTTGGCTGGAGGTTTTTAAAACATGACTGTAACATAGGTACGAAGTGGTTCTAACAAAAAAAAGCATGTAGGATCTAAAATACAACACAGGTGCAAAACAGAAAATACTATGTACACTCAGTAAATAAATAGGTCAAGGTATATAGCTTACTGTTACGTAATTTTTTTTAAAAAAACTTAATAATGATATACTGATCTTTAATTTAAATTGCTTGTAGCATAATACATTTTGGTATCTTTTACTCAGCCAAATACAATAATAGTACAAGTTTGGTAATTGTAATTATATATCAATAAACCAGTTATAATTTTGTGGTTTATCGAAAAACTAGGTGTGCACTTACAATTATGCTATATATATGGATTGACAAAACTCATGCATGTAAAAAATTTGTAATATTTCTATAAAATGGACAATGATTGCCTCTGATGTTGAATGTAAATCTATCAAGCCCAAGAAGTACTATAAAAATCAATACATATGGACGAACAATCAACACAGTTAACCTATTTAACTCAATTTACACTTCATGCCAGTTCAAATAAATCAATTTTCCAGAGCTCTGCTTGCATAAGAAATATAGAGCAATAAATTCTTTTTTGTCTGTGAATTTTAATTTATTAGGTATCTTAAAACAGGAAAACTTTAGGGAGTGCTGTAAGTAAATGACTGATATATACGCATTAACATTTAGACAGGTTGACTAGGACATGCAGTAATACACAATGTCTGCCTCCAGGGTTTGCAATTCTCTACAGGTTCAAGGCAATATGTCATTTTGACAACACTATATCAGAATAAAGTTACTGGTAATTTGACCAAGTACATTTGGCTTTTGTAAGTAATGCTTTTATACTTTTAGGCAATGATTTCTGGACCTGACATTGAAAACTGTATAATCTAATCTTGGCACAAAATTTTCAAGGGTAAACATGATATAAAAAAATAATTTAAAAGGACAGTTTAAATGCAGTAGAATTGTATGTAAAAAATACATATCACAGAAAAGAGAATGTAAACAAAAACAATATAACACATAAGGCATTACTGTATAACAATCAAAAACTGTAGAAACAGCAGCAGATTCCCACTGAGGCCCTCATAATGCTGAATAGTATCAAAATGATGACATCATAATGTTCTGACATCACAGTAACAAACAATCATATAACACCATGCTGAGTAATATTCTGTAATCTGGCACAAACATCAGGGTCAAATTGATAAGACTGAAAAACAAAAAATTATATACTCAGCAAATTAGTGCAAAATGTATATTCAGCAAAAATCAACATAAAATATCAATATATACCAGCAAAAATGTCAGGCAAGCAGAAAGAACAAAAACATGGTATATGATATGGATCTTAGTATATGTATAATATTCTCTATCTATTTCTGTAAGATTGATTGTCTCCATGTTTATTTAAAAGGATATGCTGGAATTCCTCATTGATAACATTTATATAGTCTCTGGAGACCAAGTCTTTTTACGATCTCTTCAAATTCCACATGGGCACTAATTGTGCTCCTTTATAAGCTGGCCTATTTTTTTATTCTTATTATGAAACAGATTTAAAAACTTTTATGTGAGAAAAAGAAAACACTTGCTGTGGCCTTCATTTTAACATTCAGATACATGTATGTTGACAATGTTTTATTGATTACAGTAGTTATTTTCATTCATTTGTTGACTCGATATATCCCTGGCCAGTGAACTTGAGATGATAGACAACACCACATCTGTTTCATATTAGGATGTTTTATAGACTATAGATGATAAAGGATATTTAACAATTAAATTGTGTGACAAATGAGACAACTAACTTTTCCATTGTAGTAATAGTAATATTCCACTATCACCTACTTATGATGTTTATGTCTCCAAACTTATTTGCTACTCAAAGGGGCTTCTCCTAAGTATGATCAATTTTTCAAGTTTATCATGTTACTCACTGGTAAGTTTTAAATTTCAAAAGATGTTTATAACTTTTTCCTTAATAATATTTTATTACCCCTTTCTTTAAGGGATTTCAACACACACTAAATTAAAGCAAAATCGGTTTAAAAATAAGTTATATCAAATTTCCCTATAATTTCTTATTTTTGTTTAATTTTAATAAATAAGCAAAAAAAGTTGCATTAAAACAAAAAACGCTGACCTTAAATTGTGTGACAAACGAGACAACTAACTTTTCCATTGTAGTAATAGTATTATTCAACTATCACCTACTTATGATGTTTATGTTTCCAAAATTATTCTGGCTTCTCCTACCAATTACAAAGGGTTCACACCCTAAATTAAAGTGTTTCCAGTCAACAATGGGATGCTTACTCCTCCTAGGCCCCTGACCCCACCTAAGTAATATCCAGGGTCCTTGTTTTAAGCCCTCTTTACATAGGTGTATCATTTATAACTTTCTTAGAATCAATCACTGTTTCTTCACCTTTTCCATTTATATTATTATATCTGAATTCACATCTACAGTGATACACTCAGAAGAATTTAGGTAACAAGAAGAATTATATTTCATAACAAGAGACCTATGGGCCTTCATGATCCTGTTTTTTCTTGAAATGATCAACTTTGCACCACCTAAATCTGAAACTCAAAATCTGTGTCAAGAACTTTACAATTTAACCAGGATTTTATGTGCATTATTAGAATTTTTAATCTTGTTTTTCTGGTGGATGACATGCCTCTGACCTTGAAGAAAATGCCCCCCTAAAGCTTGAAACATCACCTTGAAACCATAAACTGCAGTATGCAGACCTAAGTTCTTTTTATAATCATGTTATTTTCCTGGATGTCTATGAGAATATTTAGTGTATTTTCAATATATATACCTAACCCTCCCCCCTACTTCTGATTCTAAGATTTCTCTCTCTCTTAACTCACTCTGTTGCTGTTTAAATGTTTGTAAGAGTAAATGAAATAACAATAATACATGTACATTTCATTTCTAAATTATTTGCATGATTACATAGGAAATAAATTTTACTCCTGATTCATACATGGGTGTACAGGAATTTATCTTGTGTTGTATTCCACACCCTCTTTGGCCTTACAATATGAAATACAACCCTGACTAAATCTCTGTAAACCCTTGATTGGACATTGATAACTAATATTATACATTTTGGGTAGCAGTGAAAGAACAGGAGTTTTATCTATTAAATCCACTACATACATTGTATATGGAATTTTGTAGCCAGATACTGGGAGGTACAAATAATTTATTATTCATAAAAAGTTATAGTCATCAGAATGGTATTACTTTAAATTGCAAAGTCAGACATTTTGTTTGTAAGTGGGGGCATCTGACATTAACTTAAATGTTAAAACTGACATTTCATGAAACAGTAAAATGGCCATCAAGTGCATTATCTGACATAAAATTAAAGATATTAACATTATAGTAGCTCTCTGTCATCAATTATCATAATAAACAATGTAAAAGTACAGACAAACACTAAAGTTTACAATATAGGACTGTGGACAATACCTTGATAGGAATGACTCTATATGACATCTGTTATGAAACACAATGCTATCAGGTTAAGATAATTATGAGAAATATTTGCTGATAAAAAACAAATATTTATTAAAAGTTTAAATTTTAGTTTATTTTTTAATTGAAATTTTACCTGCTCTATCATTTTGTGATATAATATAAATTTTTGGTTTTGCGGGGATTGAGAAAATAATCCTTGAAATAACAAGAGACCTATAGGCCATACTGCTCAGCTGAGTAACATTAGCTCTACTGTTCTTCTGAAGATTTCTAATATTTTTGTTTTCTCAAAAAAAATTACAACCCCATATCATAGCCCACTCTAAGGGTCTCTGAATCCACACTACAAGGGGATGCTTAAGGAATTTTAGTTTGTTGGGACATCAGCGATAGTTGAAAACGTGGAATAATTTGCATAATTTTGCATAATGGACAACATATTATACATAAATTGTTCCCCAGTTCCAACTATCATTGATATCCCTGGCATACCAAACAAACTAGACAGTGATTCCTTGTATTTCCATTTCATTGTGAAATAAGATTTTGAATTTAGATTTAAAGATGTCTAATTGATTTAAATTAAAAACATATTGATGTATTTTTTGGTTTGTTTTTTACTTTATCTATTTAGAATACATTTCAAATCTGGAGTCATTGGGTACTTGAACATTAATATTCTTTATGTATTTTACCCTCAACATCTAAAATCCTTGAATACCTCAGTTTTTTCACTTCCCCAAAGATTAAGGTAACAAGGTTTGATTGTAGATTATTGTATTATTAGGATTAACACAGTGATGTATTAACGTCAGAAAATTTTCACATTGTTTCAAATTTTCAGACTTTTTTTTCAGAAGACTGTTGAAGAATGTAATCACCTGGTATATGTTTCAATTAAAACTTTGATGCCATATTGTGGCCCCACCCTGTCCCTGGGCCAATAGGATTTGAAACAGGTTTTTTAATGTCCTCCACTCTAGTTTGCCTTTTTTTATATATATAATCTCCCTTTGGAATAGGACTTAGTCCTTCATTTGAACAATTAAGAATCCCTTTCATCCAAGGATGCTTTGTGATAACTTTGGTTAAAACCACACCAGTGGTTCTTGTAAAGAAGTCAAAATGAGCTAAAAACACTTTGACAGTATAGAGCAAAGAAGTCCCATTTTTTAAACTGTGAAAAGGAAATCTTTGTCAGTGGTAAGGCAGTCTGTCTATGTTCTACAGGCATTAATTCAAACCTAAAGATAAACTATAGCTATATTATAATTCCTATCATAAAGCAGTCTTGTACATTTAGCACCTGTTCATGTGCCCTCTCAAATCCACACTCTGGCCATCATATCTACTTTATAACATCAATAACATACTCCTTTACACCACTATTTAGTTCCTCAAAAATTCATTATATAGTCTGTCATACTTATAAACTTCATTATGTATGAATTAAAAAATTAGGAATGCCAGATGAACCAAATATGTCATTTGTCTCACTGTACAAATTTAATTTTAATGTGTAAGAGAATGTCATTTCACAAAAATAACCAACTTACATCAATTATAAAAAAAGCTTCAAATTTGTGTTTAGATTCTCAGTTGCAGATTGTATGCAGATTACAATTATTTTCCCTTCCTGTTGAATTATTGTATATATGCTTTTACAGATCAACCTAAGAACTGTAACTCCTGTAGAATAATAAAATATATATTCCAATATGTAGCATTAAAAAAAATGTGGGGGATGGTCTAGGCAATGAAGTAAATATCAGCGCTATCCATTTACACAAAAACAGGTTAATTCTATAATGCTGAGAAACAAGTTACAACTTAATTAAACACACCTTTTATATTATTTCTAGCTTAATTCTTTTTTATTGCAGTAAATATTCAAATACATGTAAAAGGGACATAACTGAAGCAGCTTTCCAGTGGATTCTATAGTAACTTATAAAACTGAATATTTTCCAACACGAATGTTTTTTTTCTTTCACAGCAGAGTAACACAATATGGTATTTTTGTGGTTATAGGCATTGTAAGGGTTGTTTCTAGACTGTTTACCTTGGAGGAGTATTTTAAGAAATTATTTCAAAGCCTTACTCATTTTATGGGGCATATGCATTTTTTAGCTAGTTGTCTACCCCTACCATATCCATGTATATAAAGGATTAGTGTATGTTTGAGAGAGTTAATTATTTATCACTCCAGTTGAGGTATAGTAATTTTTTTGTCCCAGTTCTCCACTCTTTGCCTCTTTTGTCTACCTCTGAGTATATTGTACATTTGACCTTTTCCACCTTTAGTTTTTCCCCTGATTACCTTTGAATAATATTTCTTGGCCTCTTCCTCGTCCTTCTTCACCCCGTGCCCCTCGTGGAGACACCTGGCATAGTAGAAGCACCCCATCGCGATCCCCTTTGCTAGGTAGCTGGGCAGACAGCCTGTTTCTTCTGATAATCGCTTGACATCTGAAAATTGTGAAACCCTGTGGAAGAAAAACTTAGGTGTTAACATTCCTGCAGCTTTAACACCATTTGATAAACAAGAAGTCTGTGAGCCAATGCTCACTAGCAATACCCCCGCTCTAATATGAGTATACACTATGGTGTTCATATAAGCAAGTTCAGTTATGGACAGATGCACACTGAAAGATAAACAGGAACTATGAAATATTAATTCACACGAATTTCTTCGACATTCCATATGCAATATTTAACATTAAGTGGAAGTCACTTCAAAATTTTTAAAAAGATTTCAGAATTATGATACATGTATTGATATACAGTTGAATTTTCATATCTCAAATACCCTGTATACGTTGAAGTGAGCTAGTTGGATATGTACTATTTCAACATCCTGGATATCATAAATCCTTGGTTATCCTGAAGTTTTTTCTTGGACCCTTATACTTGAGATAACAAGGTTTGACTGTTTTTATGTTACGGTTTGACTGTTTTTATGTTACCTGTGGACCAGTATTATATCTCACCTGGCTGCCAGATCAGCTGCCTTAGTGTACAGTTTCCTTCTGTAATAATTAGCCACAAGATTCCCCATGGCATACACATTCCCCCGGTCCGACGCTTCCTTCAGACAGACGTACGCACTGTCTGCGTCCTGCTTCACTCCTATACCATACTCATACATCACACCTAATGCACCTGTTCAAAAGAAAACAGGAATTTATTGGGAAGGAAATTGATGATATAAAACTAATAGCAGGCAATGGTTTGAAATAAATGTTCTTTGAAAATGAAATAAATTTGACACATTGCTTTCAAGTTGGTCAACTTTATTTAACTTCTTTATTCTATTTTGCAGGGTATTATCTAATGATTTGAATATTTTTAATCTTTGCTCCTAGGTCACTGAAGGTGTAAGGAACTTAAGTTCACCTGCTTCTACGATTTCACAACATGGACCATGAACCACAAACCTTGAGATTCCAAGCTTCCATTTCCACAAGCTTCATTGTGCCAGAAGAAAGCTTTCTTGAGATCAAGACTGTCAGGTCGAGAGTAAAACATGCCGAGTGTCGTCTGAGCGGGGACGCTAGCTGAGGGATTGCCGTCATCAGCAGCTAATAACCAGTACCTGTAGAAACGCATGCTCACATCAAAACAAGGAATGCAGAAATATGTACCCTTAGCAATAGCCTATAGATACATGTAACAGAACTTAGTCATTTCATTCACAACATAGGAACAATAAAAATTCAGGAATATTTGTCTTTCATATCCTATTAGAAACACAAAAGTAGACCTAAAGTAACAAACACCAACAAGAAACACTCAAATAAACTGATAGTTTAGACTCTACCTCAGTGCCTCATCATCAGACTGTTTGACACCGTATCCCTGGAAATACGCTCGCCCAATGTTGAACAATGCTGAATACTTGAGATGTTTCGCATGCTTGGAATCTGAGTGTGCTATTTTCTTTAGATATTCTACGGCAGCTTTCTGCAAAATTTTAAATTATAGTATTCATGCAGCACTTAAGAAATTGCCATGGCATGCATATCTGAGAAATATTTTCCTTGTGAAATTCGTTAAGGAGGTGAATTCTCCAGAGACCCCTACCTCGTCAGGCTTGCCTCCCTCTCCATCATACAACATACAGGCCAGCATATACAGCGACTGGAAATCAAAGTCCTTGGACCGCTCAAAGTAGATTCTAGCTTTGTCAAACAGATTCTGGAAAATGAACACATGGATAGGAATTTTATGCATTGAATAAAATGATTCCAAGGGATCCAATAAACTCTTCAAGACCTTATAAGGCCATCAAAAATATATTTGTTTCTTGTAACCACAGTTACCACACGTACCCAAATTGGGTTAGAAAAATAAGAGTCTGGTTGGTTGTAAATAACTATAACAATATAAAAAGTTAGAGAAGGATAACATTATGAGTCAAACCAAACCTTAACTAAATAACTAAACAATTAAAGTACATGCATAATGCAAATTGTGTTTTCAGTATAAATCAAATTAGTCAAAGACTTGCTGAAAACAAATGCACTAAAGTTTACGTAATGGTAAGTAAAACATGACTTGAATGCACACTTAATGTGATATACATATCATATCAATTTGTGTTTATACCTGCTCATAATAAAATAACCCCAGCTGAAAGTAAGCATGCTTGTCCCCATTCTTAATTCTTTCTAACAGGATGTTCTCCACTTTCTCCATCAGCTCCTCCTCTGTGAGGGAGCCATAGCCGGGCATTTCCCGAGTCTCCTGGGCAATATCATTAAGGATGCTCTTCTCCTTCGCAAAGGAGACATTGTCTTGTGGAATATCCTTTGACAATTCCATCTTGTGTCAGAGAAACCTTAGTAATTACAACAAACCCTTATTAGTGATATAATTCATGCCCATTACAGGAAAAAAAACATGTATCACATGAAGTAATACCTATCTATCTCAAAGATCTTACGTACAGAATGCTAGAACAGAAACTGTGAACACACAGAGGTAATTCGAACTGTGTTTTGATATCTTTATTTTAATAGGAATTTTAAGACATATATTTCAATCACACAATTGTCTGATGATACAAATATAGGTTTTCAAAGCTTTGATAGGTTTGTGTGAAAGATTTGAAGGCTTTTCTTACCCTGACAACAAGTCCGCGAACCCAAACAATATCAAGGCGAGTGTAACTTCCAAAGCCGGAGAACGAGTTCCGGATTACCATCATCTCGTTGTGAAAAAAAAAATATATCACCAGAAAACAAGTAATTGAAAATGCTCAAAGATGTTCCTGAATCCACAAAGTCATTAACCACGGTATTTATAAAGAAAAAAAGTATCAAATCTCATTTTTATTTTCAAGAAAATCAACAAGTCCTATGCATGCTATATGCTATGATTAAAAATCCATGAGTATTTGGTAAGTTTAAGAAAATTGCATATTTTTAAAATTTTTGAATTAGGCTGTATGAAAGCAAATCTAATTCCTCTAAAATTGTTTTTATTATTATGTAATTTCTGGGTTACAGAAAAATTTGTACAATTCCATATCTAACATCGAAGAATGTTGAATCATATTAAGACGTGTCATTATCATTATATCAATAATCATTATGATTATTGTGTGTGAAATAAAAATTGTTCCACAAAAAATCAAGTTCAACATTAAGAATTTGTTGGGTCCTTTTTAATTATATAATAATCATAAGAGATGTTACTTATGTGTGTTTTGACTGCCTATATTTTCCTCTCATTTTTCCTTTTCACACAAATTCTTATGCAATTTAAATTGGAAGCCTTAATTGGCGTAATTAATAATCTGTATTTCAGAGGTCTGTTTTGGACATTATTTACAGTTCATCAAATTGTGAAGATTTTCATAGAAATGGGTAGCCACGGGGCGTCGCGCTGTTCATTTCACAACAATCTGTGGGACCTATTCCTGTAGCTATAGGTTCTCGGTGCCATTATAATGGTGATAATTGTTTACCTCAATAGACCAATAAACAATTGACTGTGTGGATAATAAACATGGTTTGACTTGAGGCTGGGACCATAATCCAGTGTGAATTACATAACCGCCTCTATATACCTGTAGATTACCTGTAGAATACCTGTATAATACCTGCTACACCTGTCAAGCCAGTTTGAGTTGTCACTCAGTTTTTACAATTTCAATCCACATACACATCGACCTTCACTGAACACGGACATATGGACAAGGTGAGGAATTTTATTTGAACTTTTTTTTTTAATTTGACTTTCATTTCGAAATTTCAATGCACTTGTTTATAAAGGCATTTATGACTTATTTTTTTAAATATTAGCATACTAAAAATTGTTATTAATAACAAAATCATTTTAAGAAGTTATTTCACTGTTTTTGAACATTTTGGCAATGAATGTCACAAAAACTGAAAAAAGGGGGGGGGCGTTCATGAATATGCACCTGGAATTTTGTTATCATAGCTTATTATAGAATGCAGAACGATATTGCAGATACAGGGTTTTTCTTCTTTGTTTAGAGAACGCCAGCAGAGTGATTGAGATTAGAAATTCCAGGCCTCTCATACTGTCATAGCAGTGTGGTAAGTACCTTGTCACAGTTTTTAAATCATAACACCCCCCTTTTCCCGCTTCTTGAGAAAAAAAAGACAACAAACACTTGAGCTGCCAATGTTCAAATCAAACAATATGCATGTGTAAAAATCAGTGAACCATTTTTTGATTGCACACATCGTTTGTATTATGTAACCAAAATATGGTAAAGCATGTATTTCTTTTGGATGGTATTTCTATCCTCACTGATCAATGCTTCAAATTTGAACTGTATCTATTTTCACTAAATATAATGTTAAAACTGGTTCAAATACATATCTATGATAGAAAGAATAAAAATTAAAAAAAAATTGCTACATGATAAATATGTTTTAAACACATGCACTTGTTTCGGAAATAAATCTTTAACACATAGTATAATAAATTATTACACTATGGATTAAAAATTTATTTCTGAAACAAGTGCCTGTGGTTTTAAATTGTGAATTTTTCATTTAAAGTACATTAATTAAATAAAATGCCTAAATATAAAGTTATATAAGAAGGAGTTATTGCCCTTTGTGACATTTTTTAAAGATTGAATAATTGATTAAATGAAGAAATTAACAACTTCTTTTATTTAACAATATTTTTCATTACACCTTTTGAAAAGCATTCTTCCACAAGATGTTTTTGTATTGGGACAAGGTTTCAATTTAATTTAGTAATTTTTTGCTAATTAAAGCATATAACTTAATCAAAGGAGGATGGACCAGGTATTTTTTTGCACATTTGCGTAAACTTCAAATCAGTTGTCATCTAGGCAATAAAAACTTGTATACAGTAAAACTCGGTTATAGCGAAGTCCTGGGGACCTGTGAATTTAATTCGCTATATCCGTAATTTGATATATCCGTATAACGAATTCGTATAAGTGTATATAGCGAATTTGCAATATGCGCGTTTTCCATTAAATATTACAACAGAATATGGTGCCTAGGAAGCAATAATTACAAAACATATCTCGGCTATCTTTAAGGTTTTCATTATGAATATAGTTTTATTTCTTATGAATTCTTATAGAAAATAAACTCAGTTCAATATATCAAATTTTGAAACTTTTGAAAATTTGTTATAAAAGATGTAAATTTCATTATTTTTAACTCTACGATACTCAAAATCAGTTCGCTATATCCGTAAATTCGTTATATCAGAGTTCGTTATAACCGTAAAATTTTACAAAGAATTGTTAAGAGTTTTGCCGGGGACCCCGAAAAACTTTGCTATATCCGTGAATTCGCTAAATCTGTGTTCGTACTAAACGAGTTTTACTGTAATATTATTGTCAAATGTCACTTTAATGAAGAATGATTAACCGGCTGGGTCTTCAATTCTTTGAACAAACTCAGAACACATGCACTGCAAGCATTTATTTAGATGCATAAAGCAGCATTAAAGCTGCGATGCATTAATACTGGCTTTATTACCTTGCTTGCAGTAAGACTTTGAATTTTTATTGGAAACATTTTCAAAAACATTAAACAATGAGGCTATCTTAAAAAAAAGTGTTTGCCCTCTCCTGACTGACTGGCTAAAAATGTCCTGTCATGACTCAAAACTTTTCTTAAAGACTGAGACCCCACCCCCATCCCCCAGGACTCTGGCTATAATGTCAAGTGAGACTTCACCTATAGTGAGATTTCCCCATGGAACTCTGGCTATATAGTGAGATTTTCCCCACGGAACTCTGGCTATACTGTATAGTGAAATTTCCCAAATAGTGAGATTTCCCCCCTGAACTCTAGCTATATAGTGAGACCTCACTTATACATGTAGTGAGATTTCCCCCATTGAACTCTGGCTTATATAAAAATCAGTGCACCTTTTTTGAAGTTTGCACACATGTTTGTGAGATTTCCCCCATGTAGACTTTCAAAATCTGGCTATATAGTGAGACTTCATCTATAGTGAGATTTTCCCCCGGAACTCTGGCTATACTGTATAGTGAGATTTCTCCCATAGTTCCAATGGAACTCTGGCTATATAGTGAGATATAAATTTCCCCCAACTGGTTCAAATACATACTCTGGCTATAAAGATTAAATTAGTTCCAAAAAAATTGCTACATGCTTGATAAATATAACGTTTTAAACACAGTCACCCATAGGGAGACTTCACAAATAGAACCTTTAACACATAGTATAATAAATTATTACACTATGAGTTAAAAAGCCTTATTGATACAACCATAGTGGCCATGAAGGACTTTGCTTTGTAATTACATAAAACCTCTCTAGCCAGTAATATATTATATAGTAAGGCAGTTAAGAACTTCAGCTATGGAGATCATAGGCATAAACATAGAACCATATTTACCAGTAGTCTTTGTAAAATCCTAGTACATAAAATATGTCCTTCCAAGGTTACATTCAGTATCTGAAACATTGATATCTCAAACGCAACAAGATACTTTTTCTTTCTGTATTACAACCTTAGTATCTTGAATATTGGATTTTTTTGATTTTTTTCTAAGCACCATAGAATTTGAGATAAAAGGTTTGATTTCACATTGCCTTGCATATATACAATGTATACCTGAATACCGTATAAGTAGAATTTTTAGCGAGGATTTAATTTTGGCATTATTATTGTCAAATGTCAAATTGAATATCGCTAAAAATTGATTGCGTTTCATTTGTAATAGGTTCTTTAGAGAGCATTTTAAAATTGCTAAAATTACAACTCGCTAAAAATAAAATACCAGTTTTTAAAGACAAATCGCAAAATTTGCCTCTCGCTAAAATTTCTACTTATACGGTACTTTACATTTTTTTTTAAAATCTAATACAGTAACCTAGGTTATAGTAAGAACTCAATTAAAAAAGAAATCTTGGAGAAAGGGAACTTTTTTTAAAAAATCCCATAGAAGACTTTTCACAATGTTTTTTTTATTAGGAATAAAGTACCGTAGGTCAAGAATCTCAGATATGAATTCAAGGTCCTGGGCCAACTTTATGACCAACATAAAATGGCTGACTCAAAATTAAAAAAAAAGCTTCAGGAAACAATTCTTTTTATTTATTTCATCCCATTATAAATTATTTTAACTTCATTTACAAAGAGCAAGAGCCATCTTATGCATAAAATGGCCCTGTACTTATATCAATTAATTAAGTATCACCCTCTTTCCCATTTCATATGTCAAAATAAAGTAGACACTTGGTGCTATCATTTTCCATAATAAAATTTCAGCAAGATGCAATATTAAACAGGATTTGTCCAGAAATTGACTTTCTTTTAATTTGCAGAAAACATGAAATTTTACCTTCAGCAAAGAATTAAAAAGCTCACACAGCCCAGAAGCTAAAAATAAAACATGTTTTTTGATCTTCAGAAACAAAGCTTTCATTTTGTATTTGCATATTTTGGATCAGAGGTTGTGCTATATATAAAATATTGAAAAAATACTTCAACTTTAGGTCATTTTCAAAGGAATTGACATGATATGAAATCAAATGAGATTTTTCACATAATGCATTGACTATATGGGAAATTACATCACGATTAATACTTTTGGTCACCATATATTTTGAGTGATAAATACTGCATTTGCAACCTAAACTGAGCGGTTTTGATTTTTCAGAAATTCTCAGGGCCAAATAAGGCCAAAAGTGGCTCTTGCTCTTTTTTGGAGTAAAAATAAGGTCCCCTACCTACCTTTTCATACCCTGAAAAGTGAGAGGGTATATAGTGGCAGGGATGTCTGTCTGTCTGTACATCCATCTGTTATGCTTTAGGGTACCCATCTCTTATCCTCAGCTCCTCCTATACCACTGATTAAAATTTAATCATACTTTCACAGATTCTTGTTACATAACAACATTGTGCACCTTCTATTTTACTTTTTGATCAGACACTTATTTCAGGTCTTCCAGAGCAAAACAGGGACTTTGTCATTACAATCATGTGGGAGGCGGGGGTATCATTTAGTGAGCCCAATGCTCACAGTACCTCTACTTTATCCTGATTCAGAAGAGAGCAAGCAAACATTTTTTTAAAGATGGCTGCAGTGACACTTCCTCATAACTGAGTTTTACTGTACATGCAACCACCTCAACACCCCCCCCCCCCATCCCCAAGTAACCTTAAATGGTGTAAGGTATTCATCTAAAAAATATTGGCAAAAAGGATATTCTATAATCACAGATTTTCTTCTTGTAGAGATGGATGACACAGGAAACAGTTCCATCCTGGACACATCAGAGGGAGCGTTGGTGGTGGATCTATCTCACTGTACAGATGAATCTCAGCTCTCTGATATCTCGAGATGCCGAGCCGACGACTCAAGGCTTCTGGACACACTGGAAGAAAAGATTGAAGATTCCAAACCAAGTGCGCCACCCCAAGTCACCTCTGAATCAACTCAGGATCCCTTGAATAGAGAAGAATCTCAACAGTCTGGGATTTCTGTGTGTGTCAAAAGTAACTCTGAAGGGATAGTGAATGTAAAAGATTCTGATCAGAGTGAAATGGCTGGAAGGCAGGCTGGAGGAGAAGAGGTCAATGAAATGTGTGAGAGAGGCATAAGAAGGGGAGATGTGGACATGTCCAAGTTTTCACTCCAACCAGGTCAAACAGACAACAAGTTCACTCCAAAGAAAAACATTGGGCCTGTGTCACTAGGTGAGAAGGAAGATATAAATAAAAGTAAATACACCCCCCAAAAAGTGGACCACAGACTGGCCCAACTGGCTGTTAATGCCTATGTGTCCCCTTCCTGTAGAGGGAATGACTTGAAGAAGGAGAATGCTAAAGACCTCACAGTTCCTAGTGCCAAAATAAAAAGTGATGACAATTCTCCACAGAAACATGTAGACTTTCCTGTTAAAGGCACTGCATTTTCCAAAGAAAACTCTAAAACTCTTCAACCAAGTTCCATCTACAATGTGGACTCAACTTTGCTGAAAACTACTGAGGAAAAAGTCCCATCTTTGTCAGAAAACAGATGTGTACAGGACAAAGATGCTCAGAGTTCACAGAATCCTTTCTTGAAGGTTGAGGAACAGTCATTTAAAGTAGCTGACCATGGACAGATGAAGCACATGCCTGCAGACAGTTATTCACAAGCAATGTCCAGACTGAATTGTAACATGCAGCAAAGAGACAACACTCCCCAAGTTGAATGGAACGTTTGCCCTGAAGGTGATGATGAAGAAAATGAGGACATGAATGAGACATGTGACCAAAGTGACCTCAGCAAAATGGAGGATGAGATGGATACCAGTCAAGTTCAGGAAGGAGAACCAGTTAAACTTCCGATGACAACAGATGTTCATTGTGCTATGTGTAACAACTGGTTTATGAACATGAACTCTTATACAATGCACATGGCAAAACATGCTCAAATGACTTCACCACTGCTGGGACTTAAATGTAAAATCTGTGAGAAAATGTACTTATATGAGATGGAATTCAAGGCCCACATTCAAGCACATTTAGAAATGCCCAAGGTTTACAAATGTCGAGTTTGCTTCAAATCTTTTGAGGAGAAATCTGAGCTTCAGCGTCATGCAAAAATTCACCAAGACAAGAAAGAATTTTCCTGCCAGTTCTGTGGTAAGGAGTTCCACTACTCATTTAACCTGAAGAAACACCTGAGAACTCACACAGGTGAGAAGCCTTACACCTGTGTTTTGTGTGAACTAAAATTCACTCATAAGAACAGCCTGAATCGTCACATGAGCCTGCACACTAACGATGCAGAGTTGGAGTGCGCTGTCTGTAACAAGGTGTGTTCTGATAGATGGACCCTCCAGAAGCACCTGGCATCTCACCAGCTCCTCAGCTGCAACCAATGTGACCAGTCCTTCACCAACAGCAAACAGCTCCAAAAACATCAGAAAACTCACATAGAAGAACCGAAAGAGAACTCAGCTCCAGATGTTCCTAACAGTCAATCTAATGAACAGCTTACCCATACAGACTCTGCTCAAACAGGAAATGTAGAGGTGGACATGGCTATCAAACCAAATCCTGATCAGAAATCCCGAGCTAAACGGACTAGGAGATCCATGGAGACTCAGTGTGAAGTCTGTCGTAAATGTTTTAAGAATCCAGGAAACTACTACCGCCACTTACAGTCAAAAGAGGGAATGCCAATCCAGACCTGTGATTTGTGTGGTCATCAGTTCCATGATGTTTATGATCTTCTAAAGCACACTCGACAGGTCCACTCCCAGACTTCAGACACCAAAGGATACATTTGTAGAGTCTGCGGACAAAGTTTCCCTGATCTCACATTACTCACAGAGCACATGTCAGGGCATTTGCAAAACATGAAGAAATCAGGGACCACCATGTCTGAGACCAAGATTCCAAAACCAGAGGGAGCTGGATCACTTTTTTGTTCAATTTGTGGTGAAAAATTCTACAACCCAATGATGCTGGACTTACACATGATGGAGCATTCCTCTTCTCAGAGCAGTTCAGAAAATGTCTTAGATCTATCCAAATCGAGGAAAGATGCCACACAGCCACCTCCAAGGAAACGACTGAAGCTGGAAGCCATTCAGACTGCAGAGCCACAGGAGTACTATGACAGTGACAAGGAAAATGAGCCCCTCAATCTTTCCAAGAAGAAGTGCACCCCCAGGGTCAAGACCAAGGTTCTAGGAGTCCACCAAGAGAAGGTTCTATCTGCAGTACCTTTTGTCAACACCATGTCAGTTGTTTTCAGTGCTCTGCCAATCCATCAAAATCTGCGACCTCAAACAAATCCAGAGAGCATGGGACTGGATTTATCCTGTAGATCAAAACCATCAGAGAAACCACAGGGAACTGTTGCTACAGACCAAGCCCTATCAAAAAATCAAGAGATGTTAGAACTGAACAAATCAACAAAAGAAGACTTTACAAAGAAAGAAAAGAAAGAGGAACTAGGATGTGAAGAAGGGGTTACACCTCTAAAGTCACCAAACCTGGATTCAAATGTTGCCATGGAAACAAGCCAAGAGGACTTTCCCGATGAGAACTCGAGCTTGACTGACAAAAGTGACTTCCCTGACCATGCCTCTGACCTCAGCAGTAGAGCTGGTTCTCCATCAATGACCTTGACCTGTGAGTATTGCTCCAAAGTCTTCACTGACCCAGTGGCCATGAACAGGCACCTGTCCTCTCACTACAAGGAGTGGGCGTTCTACTGTAACTACTGTAATACCATGTTTACAGAGGAGGACAGTTATAGAGCTCACACCCCCGTCCACCCTCCCCATAATCCATACATGTGTAACGTCTGTCACACCCACTACCCGGACAGAATCAGTCTCGGGGCTCATCAGTCTCAGGCTCACCCCCAGGAGAAACCTTTCCAGTGTGGAGTGTGTCAAAGAAGGTTTCCTGTCAAGTCCTACCTAGGGTCCCACTGCAGAACGCACCTCACCGAGAGACCATTCAAGTGTAATGTTTGCGACCGCACGTTTGTTCACAATTTCAATCTGACAAAGCATATGAGGACACATACAGGTGAAAAGCCATACACCTGTGCATGGTGTGATAGGAAATTCAGTCAGAAGAATAGTCTTAATAGGTTAGTGTTTATTGTTGCCTAGGAAAATATAAATTTAACTGAAATTAGTTGATAAATCCATCTGGCAAATCTTGAGTCAAATATAATTACTGAACTGAAAGATAAACTTTGACTGTTCACCTATAAAAAAAGATGTTTATAATGACTTTTCGTGTTTTTACTTTTAGGCATGAGAAAATTCATATGAGAGAAACCCCATCAAAAGGAGCCCTTCCAACTACTTCTAGTGGTGGTCAGCTCTTTAGTCCAGGCCCGAATCAAGAGGAAGCCTCACTTGATGGAGCCACACCCCATAAATCTGATAGATCCACCCCACCTAGTGTAATCAGTTCAAATACAGCCACACCACAGAGTCAGCAGAAGACTAGTTCAGGACAGAACCGGTCCAGGAACAGTTCAGCCAGCTCAACCAGTATGCACCGGACAACACTGGAACCACCTCCTGAGGACAGGTACCCCAATCTTCCTCCAGATGTTCTACAACACATGTACATGCAGCAAATGGCCATGATGCAGCATATGGTGCAGCAGGGAGGTCACAGCATGAACCTGATGCAGAATCCGTACATGATGGCAGCATACATGCAGCAAATGCACATGATGCAGCAGATGGCTAGCAGGGATCCAAACCTGTCACCATACCCACCAGGCAGGGATCCAAAAATTTCACCATTCCCACCCGGTATGGATCCAAACATGTTGCCATATACACCCCCCTCTCTGGAATCTATGTCCTCCTACTCCAAATCCATGGAAAACTACAACACTGGTAACATTCACCAGCAACGGAGGGGCACAGATCATACAGCACAGGCTAATAATAAAGGGACATAGATCATACAGCACAGGCTGACAGTAAAGGGACAAAACTGTGAAATAAGACTGACTGGTCACCACTAAGTATAGGAGGGACAGAGTAAAGGGAGATAACTGTGAAATAAGACTGACTGGTCACCACTAAGTATAGGAGGGACAGGGTAAAGGGACATAACTGTGAAATAAGACTGACTGGTCTCCAAGTAGCACAAGGTGGTCATAGTACCGGTAGATACATATAAGATGGACAGAGTAAGTGGGCATAACTGTGAAATCTGTGTATATGTAACTGATCGGTCACATTCTACATTTTAGATCTTTAATAAGCTACTAGAGCTTGTAAGTGTCTGTACCGAGTAATAATAATAAATGTCATACACAGGTGTGTTAGAGAAAATTAAGATGAAAAGGAAAACTGCTTAAAGGTTTCTTTTTGACACTGAAATCCAAAATGCAATAAAGTGAACAACTAAAACACTATTATTTCAAAAAGCTCTCCATGAACAAGTATTATCTTTCCTGTAATAAGATATTTTCAAATACATGTATATAATTGGTTATAAGACTTGTAAAATATTCTGAATCAGTATTTTTTTTTTTGTTCCTCTTTTTATATTTTTCAAGTCCAGATTAAGGATATTACATGTACATTATTTATCACTGTAACAGTTGTAAATATTCTTTGCTTACATTTGAACTGTTTTGTTAGCAATTCAGATACATATTGCATTAATGATGCTAAAAAGTATTTTTACATGTTATGAGTTTTACCACAGAGAACAATTTCTAAATAAATACTTCTTTTGTTCATAGGAATTTTGTTAATAAACAATCATTTGTAAAAATCAAAATTTTGATTTTATAATGTTTCTCTGAGAATGCATATATAGAGAGTTTTCCTATGATGCATTTTTAGCTCACCTCGACATAGTCCAGATGAGCTTATGCTACACCCCCAGCATTAGTGTTGGCATCAATTTTAGGAGCAAGTCCATTCCCAAGTAACTATAAACCCTACCTGGACCAAACTTCTAACATAGATGATTTGCATGCATCTATAGAGATGGGCACTACCAGACTTGCTTTGGATGCTTGATCTGACATTTATTTTACAGATGAGAGACCAGGGCATAATTTGGATTAGCTCTGTAATTTTATGGCCGTTTATATGAATAAACTTGCATGATGCATCTAATTTCTTCAGATGTTGGAACTGAAAGAAACATTTTCCTGATTTGTGACCAGGTTTTTGGAGCAGGTTTATATTCCAAAGAAACTATGTGTCCTACTTAAAGCCAAACTTTATGAATATGAACTCAGGATGCACATAATAAAAAGATATGATGTGAGATTTGAGTTGATCACTATAAATACTTAAATAACATATTTGTCGAGGTGAGCTTCATAATCTTTGATATCTATTTTAAACTTAATTGTTATTCCCCTTGACTACAATCTTGTAGGTCATTCAGTAGTACGTGAATTTAAACCTCTTTTCACTTTATGTATGGATGCATATCAGAAATATATGGGGAAAATACTTAAAATAATTTAAAATTATGAGTTAATTAAAAGAGGCAAATGCATGAATATTTATTAATCTCAGCAAGATGTCATACATAGGACTAAAGAGAATATGTCATAGTCCCTACGACATCTCGCTGAGATTACTGTGTACCATGGATTTCCAAATGAAGTGATTAATTGGTCTTTATTGCCTGGGGATATTACCCGTGAAACTTAATTGTTAGAGCACCTGAATATTAATGCAATTAACATGATTAAGGTGTAGGTTAGATTTCAATACCAACCACATTTTTCTTCGATCCTTTTCTTGTCATGTACAGTGACACTGCATATGACCATCCCTGGAGTTGCAGGTGACGTAGTCCTGCCAGAGGCAAAAAGGGATATCTGCATGGTTGCAACATTTCTTTCAGGGTGAAGGCAATTTTAGAAGGGAGGATTGCAGTAGGTGACAAGAATTGTGGATATTGGCCTGGGACCCTGCGAATCAGGTGCTCTACTGACTCAGAGCAACCCAGGCCAATATATCAAACCATTAGGCCTAAAATAAAAAATGGTTTGTTTGCAGTCGCCTACCGACCCACTGAAAATGTACCCGACTTAAAGTTTTTTTCAGCCATCACTTGAAAAAAATTTTTTTTGAAGTTTCAGATGTTAAGGATGTTATTTCTGTCGATAAGTGGCATAAAAAGGGTAGAGATTTATTTACATAAAATAACCCTATAAAAATCTCAGATTTTTAAACCAACAACAACTTGATGCTACAAAATGTATCAAAAAAAAATTATACCTACCTACCACAGGGACTAAAGAGAATGTTCTCTACTTCACATATAAAAAATACACAAGGGAAGATTACACACGTTTTTAAAAAAATTTCAAAAAACAACTTACTTGAGAAAAGTTACACAAATCCTGAAAGGAATTAGCGCAAATAATGTCCAACTACGTACATACATTTTTCTAAAATATTCCAGATATATCCACTAAATAGCTTTTATCCAACTAAAACCCCAGCTTTCTGAAGTTGCAGATGCACAGTCCTGCCAGATGACAAAAAGGGCCTTCCGAGTGCCATTGGAACTTTTCTTATGTCATCCGGGTGAAGGGGATTTTGTGCAGAAAGCTGGGGTTTTAGGATAAAAGCTATTTAGGTGATATATCTGAATATTTTAGTAGATGTTTGTGGCTGGATTTGTGATTTTCTCAAGTAAGTTGTTTTTTGTTTTTTAAAAAATCGTGTGCACTTTCGATTCTTGTGTATTTTTATATGTGAAGAGTAACAGGCAAAGACAAGATGTATTATAGGTCGGCAGCTGCAAACAAAGAATTTTTTAAGCTTGGCCTTACATTCTTCCTATAATTTTTGAATTTTCCGCTTTGAAAGCATAAGGGCGATAACTCCAACCACCTGCTGTTCTTAGCAACGTGTAAACCATAACAGACGAATCACATCGCGTACTAATTTAAGTGTAATATAAAAAGTTATATGAATTCCCAAATTACTGCCAGAGAAAGAAGAAATTAAATATAAATGTAATTATAACATGCTGATATCATCAAGTAACATAAAAGATGATAATGTACTTTTGCATGTAACTTGATGTAGAACTATTTTAATGCGCAAGAAGTAGAGAGAGGGTTCGTCAAAATGGCGACAAGTGCCAAAAATTCGTTTAACCATTATCAAAATGGAAAATATGGCACTTTACCGGGGAATCCGAATAATAATTCGGAGGTTACACAAGATATGCATCTTAAGATGTCAAAGAAAATCGCACAGCTCACAAAAGTAAGTATTAGGTCTTCATTTTGCTTTTGTGTTCGCCACCAAGCGTACGCTGCGTATCAATATCAAAGATAAATCTTGATAAATCAAAGTGTTTTCGATAAATGTCATCATATACTTTATTTAACATTTCATTCCATTTATATGTTTATCATATTTTCAATCTATATGTCAAGAATTTGAATTGATTTGAAATGAAGGATTGAAAGGTACTCGAATTTCCTCTACAGTTTTCAAGATATCTGGCTGTGCTAGTAAAAGAATGTCAGGATATCATTATCTGATATTGTTTTCTCATTTGTTATGATAAACTTTATGATTTTAATTTAATAAAACTGAAACCAAAATACAAAATCAAAAGCAACTGAGTTAAAATAGAACAAAATCAATAATACTACAATGCATGCAAGTCTGTGGAGTGGTAGGCATGTATTGTGGATACTATATTGGTACGTTCCAGTATAATAAAAGCAGATTTTTTATTTATATATTTTTTTTTAAATTTTGCAAGGTTATATATGCACTAAACACCAAAAATGATGAACATGAAGCAGTCGTACAAACACTGAAGGAGCAGCATGAAGAACAAATACAGCAGTTGTTGTCCGAAACGAGAGAGAAAATCATCAAGTTCAAACAAAAAATTGATAGTGAAAGTGACCACAAACACACCATATCCAACCTACAGAACTGTGTGGCAGAGCATGAAAAGCACAAAAAAGAAGCTCTCAGCAAGTTTGAGAACTTTAAGAGACAAGCTGAGGAACGTGAGACCAAACTTAAAACAGAACATTCACAGAAATATCTGGAACTGTCCCAGGAAGTCTTGGCAGCGAAACGTCATTTTGAGGACCAGTTGTCTAAGTTTGAATTATGGAGGAAAGAAGTGGATTCAGAGAAAGAGAAAAGTTTGGAGGAGCAGAAAAAAATCCACACCAAGGAAATGGATGAACTCCGTGATTTCTTCCGATCCCAGAACAATGACTGGTTAAATGAGTGTGCTAAAATAGAGGATAAGTATAAGGCTGAGTTAGAGGGACTGAAAACACAATGTGACTCACTGAACACTGAAAAACAGAAACTCACAGAGGACTATGAGTCCAAACTTGCCAAGGCCAAAGCTTTTTATGAGAAGGAGTTGGAAGTGTTACAAAATGCAAAAGACAGTTCTGTGGAAGATGTAGTGAATCGCTATAAAGAAGAACAAGAAAAACTGAAAAAGGATTTCTTGTCACAGCAAAAGGAGCTTAAACTTCAGATTGAACGCCTTGTAAATGATTTGTCAGTCAGCGAGGAAAATGTGGACAAATTACAAAAAGAACTGAAGGGTCTGAGAGAGACAATGAAAGATAAAGACTCCACATCATCTGGACTGTTCAAACAGGTTGGTTTCTCATGATATGGAATCCTAAAAAAAAAACCAAAACAAAGATTTTGTACATAAGGCCTAGAAAAAAAGTATGTTTGTTTCCGCTTTCAGGCTGAAAAAATATAGGGTAGGTCGGTAGGCAACTTTTTTTTTTGAAAATTATTTTTACTTCTTTAATCAGAACGTGTATAGAAGTAACATTAATGACAAAAGAAATGGTGTTTTCTTACTTAAAAAACTTACAAAAGATTTTATTTCTGTCTCAAAAATTTCTTAATTATGTGTGTACATGGGACAAAAGCATTAAAAAAATTTTTAGGGTCGGCACTATAAATTAGGGTCGGTCGGGAAAGCGGAAACAAATATATTTTTTTTCTAGGCCTAAGTATGTATCACAAACTTTATTATTGTTGTGTGTTTTTTCTTTGGTTCATGTGTTCAATATTTTTTTTTTCAACAGTTGCAGGAAGCCAAAGTGGAGGCAACAGATGTCAGTAAGAGGCTGAAGGAGCTGCAGTCTGAGCTGGTGGCCACCAAAGAGAGGTGTAGTCAGCAGGCCGAGGACCTCCAGAAAAAGTCAGGTGGGTATCTAACTCTACAGCTGGCATTTATGTCATTTGTCATAGAGTAAATGACATGGGTATCTGAATGACGGACAAGACTTTCACTTAGCCATTGAAAACCTTTGAACATATCTTGTTTTTGTAGTTCATATTGGCCAGTTGGAAGGAACAAATGTTCAAAAGACTTCAAAGATTAAAGAATTGGAAGATGAGATAAGAAAACTTAAAGACAGACTTAGCTGGCTCGAGTCAGAACGCAAATCACTGGAGAATCAGAAAGATTCCCTCACAGAGAATCAGAAATCACAGCTCAAGTCACTAGAACAGGTAAGACATTATATCATCAAATCAGAAATCACTGTACAGAACATTGGTACAGCTAAGTCAGTGATCTAGAGCATGGTCAACAGCTGATCCGAATCCTGTTTATAAAAATAAGTAACAGAAACTTAACCCACTTCCTTTTTCAGTCCTTAGAGGACCTGTCTATTGAGAAACAGACAATGATGACAAGGCTGGAGAGGGAAATTCAGAGTCTGAAGGAAAAATCAGCAGCCAAAGAAAAAGAGCTGACAGACAAACACACACACGATGTACAGCAACTCAACAAAGCTCACTCAGAGAGTCTGGAGATGACCAAACAAAAGGCAGAGACTCAACTGACTCAAACCAAAGAGGTATGTAAGAAGGGATGGATTGACATTTCTCCTTGTTAAATGAGTTGCTGAATACAAACATAATAGCCAATGTGATACAAAATATGTTGCAAAAATACTTTCTCAAGCTTATGCTAATGACATGAAGGGCAAACAAAGTGAAATTACTAGCTAGCGTATTTGTGACAATAACACATGAATAACAGTTTAATTTACTTCAAGGAAATGTTGAAGAAGTACCATGAAGATGTGGAGAGATTGAACAAGGATAAATCTTCGTTACTGGATGAGTTTGAACGAACCAAGCAGGACTTGATAAACAAACTGGCAGCTGCAGAATCAGAGGTATTGTCAACATTTATAATACCATACGAAGGAGGGGGGGGGGGGGTCATTATAAATTGGAGATATATATGCATGTCATGAAGAAGTATGATTCAGTGTTAAGTATGATTTCTTGTAGGTCCAGAGACTAGAGAAGATTGTCCGGGAGAGTGAGAGTGGCCTGGGCACAGCCTCCAGCCAGATCACCAGTCTTAAGGACGCCTCCCACAGATTACAGTCAGAACTAGAGAAAACCAGAGAGGAGCTCCGAATGTCTAAAACTAATGCTGCTAATTTCAAGGTCAGAAAAAATCCTCTTATGGTAAAAAAGATAATAATTATAAAAAACATTTGTTTATGAAATACATTCACTCTAAATTTTTCAAAAATACTTTAGAGATTAAAAATTTTGCTTTTAAACCCAAATTTCTTTCTTGTTTTGTCATTGTATAGTATTTACAAATATAGAATTGTTGATGCTATGATTTTAGGTACAACTAGACAAGCTTCAGAATTTGTACGATGCAAAAATGATAGAAGCACAGGCAGAACTAAAAACCAAACTCGAGAAATTATCAGCAGACTTAGAAGGAAAATGGTCTGATACACTCAAGTAAGTGGACAATATCCTGCTTCTACAATACATGTTTTTTCATTGAAAAAAGTGGATAAATTTTGTAATCAAGATGGTTCATGAGACGAGAACAGTTTTTGGTACATACATAAAGTTTATATGCATTATTACTTACAGGAAAGAAACAACAGACCTGCGACGGGAACTGACACAGCAAAAAGAAGAGGAGAAGAAGGCAGCCCTAAATCAGCTATCACGACTGAAAGACGAGGAAATCGCCGCCTCTAAACGGGGCTGGGAGAACATTATTAACGAGCTACAGAAACAGGTCAGAAATTAACTCTTAGTGAAAATGGATTAATATAAAATCATTGAATCAATCTGTTCTTCATAAAGAATGAAATACGTCTTTAATAAGTACAGTTTGATAATATTTATTTCGTGTACATGTAATCTTTCAATAAGTATAAGAAAGATGTGTTATCAAAATACTTATATATTTCAATTCATTTTAGTGCTCACTTGTCAAATTTAAATATTATCAAAATAAATAAGTGCTTAGATTTGTTTTAATTAGGTGAATGAGTTGAAGAGCAAACTAAACAATGCTCAGACAATCAGCGCTGGTGAACTTGAGAGACTCCAGAGAGAGGCTGCGGAGGAAAAGCGCCGTCTAGAGGAGAGAATGGCTCAAGCTGCGGAGGAATTCGCTCAGGAAGTTGCTGCCATTGAAGCTAAGCATGCAGCAGAAATACAGGCTCTCATCAAACAAAAGGAAGAGGAAATTCAGGTTAGAAACAAAGAAAGGCATTCAAATACAGGTACTAATCCATGAGTACCGTGTAAGTAAAAAATGCATTTCTCTTGAATTTTTCCTTTGACTATGATTTTTTTGGCCTGTCTCGCATTACGGGTTATGAAAATTAATCGAAAGAGATGACAAATTTTGAATATATTTTTGTTTAGCATATACTGTAGATCACTTAATTTTTGCGACACCTTATTTTCGCGAGATAGTCTTTGACTCTTTTTTAGTGAAACAAAATTTTCACGAATTGTGGTCATTGCTCTATATAATTTAAAGGAATTCTATTATAAGCGAGAATGAAATTTTCGCGAGCATACCGTCTCGCGAAATTACGCGAAAATAAAGTTCTGGCGAATAAAAGTGATTTACAGTAAGCAAACCTAAAATCCTTAATCTCTCTGTGGATTAAACTATCAATTATGCAGTGCGTATGCATTGTTCAATTTATAAATGATTTTATATAGGAGCTTGAGACCAGTCTGAAGTCCAGACACATAGATGAGATGCAGACCTCCATCACAGCTCATAAAGCGGCCCTGGAGGGCCAGAAATTGGAGGCTGAGAGACTGAAGCAGCAGGCCCTAGAGGAACAGAAAAATGCCCACAACAAAGTGTTAGGTAAGTGAGACTATATCCAAAGAAAGAAGGGGACCATTATAGTGAAAATACATTTGTTCTCTGATAATCTGTAGTAAGGTCACTCACTGGGCCAACATAAAATTGGGAGGTTAAAGACAAATCTACTGTAGGAAAAGGATAGGCAAGGCTTATAAAATATGTGAAATTTAATTGAAGTTTTCCTACTTAATGATCTGTATGTAAAATTTATGTTTAAAAAAATATTCTGTAACATAAAATTTCTTTAAATTGCCATTTACTGTGAAATTACTAATTTTTGTGGGGGGTTAATTTTCGTGAAATGTGATTTTACAGTACTTTATTGTTTTGGTTTTATAGAGACAACTAAGGAGCAGCTACATGAGCGTCACATGACCCACATGTCAGAGGTCACGTCGTCACATGAGCAGCAGCTGGAGGCTGCTAGACTGGAGCTAGAGAGAGCCGTGGAAATCTCTCACCAGAGGGTAAAAGAAAGCAATGTCCACATACTGTGGAATCATTATTGTTTTTGGGGGACCAATGTTCGTGGCTTTCGTGGGTAACCCTGACCCAAGAATTTACATCCCCACGAACCTATATACAAACGTTTGTTTTATTATTCATTAAAAGTTAAATTACGAAATATAACTTGTTATCAACGAAATTACGTCCCCATGATCCAGAAAATTTTTGGCTACCCACGGACATTGACCCCCACAAATAAAAATGATTCCATAGTAATTGAATATAACTACTATATACAGGGTTATTTTTGCCCCGTGTTATTTTGGTCCTTTAACACTTGCAAACAATTATGCTCCGTTTAAAATTTGCCCAGTCACAGTTCTGTTTAAAAAATTGTACTGTATTCTTTGAATACGCCCTGTTTTAAATTCGCCCAACCGAGGGTAGGTTGAAAGGGGCAAAAAATAAAACGGGGGCGTAAATTTCCCTGTATACAGTACTCATTAATTTACAGTTAACACTCATATGAAACATTGTTTTAATACATGTATGCAACTACCATATTAGATAGACATAGTGAGAAACATCAATAGATTGTTTTGTGTGTATTTGATACAGGACCGAGATCACGGTATGCAGATAGAGGAACTGAAGGCAGAGATAACACAGAGGGAGAGGCACATCAAAAACTTACAGGAGGAGATTCAGAAACTCAAGGACAACATTGACCAGCTGATGAGAGAGCTGGAACAAAAGGGGAAGGATATCGTCAAAATCCGCAACGACGCAAACCTACAGCTCAAGTAAGGCCCGCATAATTATAGCTCACATCACACAAAGTTACAGGTCAAGTAGGCCCCACATAATAACAGCTCATGTCACACAAATCTACAGCTCAAGTAAGGCCCGAATAATTATAGCTCATGTCACACAAATCTACAGATCAAGTAAGGCCTCAAATAATTACAGCTCATGTCACACAAACCTACAGCTCAAGTAGGGTCCACATAATTATAGCTCATGTCACACAGCGTTACAACTCAAGTATGGCCCACAAAATAAAAGTTCATGTCACACAAACGTACAGCTCAAGTAAGGCCTTACATAATAACAGCTCATAGAACACAAAATTACAGCTCTTGAAAGGCTCATAAAGAGAATATTAAATTGCATGAACACTTTTTTGAAGGAGATCTGAAATTGCAAGAATTGCAACAGAATCAAATGGCGATGGTTCCAAATTGACTGTAGAATTTATTTATCTCCAATAAAGAGATAAAAAGGCATTGCCAAATTTATTCAAATTCATTCTCTGTTCAAGGAAAAACTCTTTCCAATGAATAATCACACATTAAGTCACTATTATAAACTCAAGAAAGTGACATGACTCACATTTGGTCCTGGATAACAAATGTTTTGATTTTTCAGGAAAAAAGAGGAAGTGCTGAACAAGCGCCACCTACAACAGTTGGAGAATGTTAAACAGGACTTTTCTCGGGAGTCAGAGTCCATGATGGCGGAATTTACAGAGGCTCAGGACATACTGAAGGACAAGATATCCGAGCTACAGATCATGTATGTATCACAGGAATTTTATGACAAGAGCCACATCTGTGTCCTTTCCCAATTAATTTTGAAATAACAAGATCAACATCACTAATTGTAAAATTCATTCTTGTGTATAATAGAATTCCTTAAGTTTATATAGAGCAATCACCACAATTCGTAAAAAATTTGTTTCGCTAATAAAGAGTCAAAGACTATCTCGCAAAAGTAAGGTGTCGTGAAAATTAAGTGATCTACAGTACTCAAATTCCTAAGTCCATCCACCTGTCTGTGTCTGTCCACTGTGTATCATGATACAGATACAATATTAAGGTCACTTCCTAAATCTCAGGAGGTATCCAAAACAAAATAGCAGGCTTTGTGCTTGTAAAGACACTATGTGTAATGCATGATACGTATGCAGTATCTGATCAACCGGTACATTTTTTCTCCAGTGTTTGCTGTTAAGTATAGTAATGTTGCATAAAGATGTAAGCGCCACACTTCATGTTGAGGCATACCTTTGGATTCTTTTGTCAATTCATTAATTAAAAAATACCATGTTTCAAAAGTGCTGTTATAAAATGTTTCAGTCCCAGTTCAAGAGTTCTTTAATTATTTAACTTTTTTTGTTTAAGTGAGATTGTATACATGCTCTAGCATGTAAAGTTGATATAATTTTCCAATGTCTTGGACAAGATTCACCAAGCATAATGTAAAATTGTTATTGTTGCTTTATGACCTTAAACCTTTTGTCTGATAGGTTAGAGGAGGCTGAGGAGAAATAAAGATTGTTATTGTTGCTTTATGACCTTTAACCTTTTGTCTGATAGGTTAGAGGAGGCTGAGGAGAAGTATAGATTGTTATTTTTGCTTTATGACCTTTAACCTTTTGTCTGATAGGTTGGAGGAGGCTGAGGAGAAGTATAATAATCGTGACTCGCGGCCCGAGGACCTGGAACTAATACAGCAGCTGAGGGACGCGATCTCCGAGAGAGAGGGACGAATGAAACAACTCATCGTAAGTCTTCTGTGGAGTACTGTTTGTCTGTAAATAATGTTAGAGAAATAGTCCAATTCAATAATAGATCGTCTTTGTATGACATATTTTCCCTGCATGTTATTTCTCTTAAACTCCAAGATGTTATTTCTCTTAACCTCCATCTTGGAGGTCAAACTAGCAAATTTTGCTCGGAGGAATCAATTTCAAACTTGTATGACAAAAAAAAATAAGGACACTAGTCTTTAAAATATCAATATTGTGAATATAAGGAAGTTGAGGTATCATATTTTTGTATGTTAGTTTCACCCAATAATGCCCAGTATGACAAGTTTAAATTGGTTGAATAATGAAAGAATTTGGGTTTGTTAACTTCCAGTATACCAACCAACAGGAAATGACTCTCTCTAAAATTGTGTATTAAAAACTATATATGGAACATTTATCAGATTCGGCAGATGAAGTATGTAGTCAGTTTCTATATTTACTCTGATAGGATGAGAAGAGATATTATCAACTGGAGCTGGTAAACAGGGAAACTAACTTTAACAAGGTGTTTAACAACACGACCAACGTTGGAGTCATTAACCCGCTGGCTAAGGTATGTCTGACTTATTCTAAGGTCGTATATGGTCTTTGACTTGTGTGAGCACAGTTGTAAGCAGGTAACAATGTGTTATCCATCTCTTACTGTAAAGCACATTACGTAACTTTTGCGATGAATAGGTTTCACACATGTCTCATGCATAGATTTTTTTCTCTTTGATTTTCAATGTATTTTTAAAAATTTGAAAGTTTATATAGCTATTTTATTTTTTATCACATAGACAGCATATAAAAAAAATCACTGGAGTTTTTATGTCGGTAGACAACATGAAGTATCTTCAGAGCTTATTGACACTTTTTTTTGGAACAGGGTACTGTACCTTTCATTGGGGAATTTAAATCCAAAAAGTGGCAAAATTTGGAATTTATTTACTACTGTTTTATATTAAGTTTTGCTGTTCATTTAGGAGTTAAATTGAAGGTTTAAACATTGTTCCCATCTTCATGTATATATGAGTTGTTAAAATCTCAAAATTCATTTCTTTTAAATATTAAAATCACAAAAAAGAAATTTGCTTCTTACTAGTATGTGGGGTCTTTTACCTACATTATGTCTTGCTCTTTATTCAGACCCATTTCCTGCCATAGATTTCAAAATGTTCACCTATATTAAATAAGCATTGGTATAACACAGTACAGTCATTTATATTGACACATGCTTCCCACCTACTAGTGAGGAACTGGATTGACAAGTTAAGACAAACAATGTCACACACAACCAATTAACTGGATTGACATGTTAAGACAAACAATGTCTCACACAACCAATTAACACCAAGGCAGGAGAGGGCGGGGGAGGGAAACATTGATACCACTCGACAGTTTTTGTTGTTATAATGCTGTCACAATGTCATTTTATTTTGGTATTACTATCCTCAGAATGTAACTGATGTTACCGGCATTACAATCCTCAGGATGTAACTGATTAGTGATTACAATCCTCAGGATGTAAATCAAGTTATTATAATGCTCAGGATGTTCACTGAGAATTTTGTAGGCAGACTTGTAATACATATAAGGACACTCCTGAATATCATTCATCAAACATCAATGTATATGGAAGTATTAGGAGAAGGAAATGTAGCTAGAAATATTACTTGTATCTACTTTAAATGCCCACTGGTATTTATAAAAAATACAATTCATTACGCTATGGTTAAACCTGGAAAAAATATAATAGTATTAGAACTTCATCTTGAACAATGACACCTTTTCTTCTTGTTGGAATATTTTGATAATGCATATCTTAGTGTGGTTCATGCAGATTTATTTTGTCAATTGCAGCAGTATTAACAATACTGTTACTGCGACTTGTTTTCTGAGAGACGTTTTTTATATGAAGGCTAACTTAGGTACCCACCTTAAGAACTTGCAATCAGATGTCACCTTTTAAAATAGACCTTCATTTCACTTTAAAGTTAATCTTTAAAAGCCTTTAAAAAAAAATTCAGAAAATGAAATTGAAAAATAAGGTTATGAAACTTGATTTTACTATAGAAAAGAAATTTTATTTAGACTCAATGTTTAATTAATGATTTTTTTCTTACCAGAAACCCAAGAAGGGAGAGAAGCCTGCTGTGTCCAAACATTCCAGTCAACCCAACCTAGGTAGTCATCGCCTGGACCCCCTCCCTAACTCCCCCATGCACCACGACCCACTGAACCCCTCCAAACCTCTGCCATCCTTCACCAAGAAATTTGTCAAATGATGAGACACTCTGTGATATTTCTATAGTGCTAGTCTATTTATGAGTGTGACCATAAACATGTAGAGCCAGTATGGACATTATAGGATTTATAATGGTTGAGGTGTATAGAAAGACCAAAAAATCTAATGGAAAAAGACCATTTAGAGCATTTCTGTGTCTTCACGTAACAGCCTGGAAGAAGTGGGGATAGAATGAAAAGTCAGCTGAAATTCTGTGTACACCTAAGTCTGCTGAAGTAAGGGAGGAGGATGGGAAGGTTCTGTCTTGTATTTGCACGCGTATGAAAAAGTTTTTCGTTGCGACTTACCCTCACACACAAAGAGAACACTGGCGGGCTCAGCCGGCCAATTGTGTAGTCCAGTGTTATCAATGTATGAAAGCTATTCTGTGATATAAACATATTAACTCAGTATTGCTGACTCTTGTCTGCATTTATCGTCATTGTCCGTCCAACAAACCTGTTGCTGTGATCAATTCATTTGCTTTGCTCTTGTTATTCTTTTGTTTAATCTTCAGATTTTTATTTGTGAACATTCATGAAATTAATTTTTATCATGCGCAGAGATGCATACTGATTTTATATCTATGATTTTTATGATGAATGTTTCCCAGAGCTGCTGCAGATTAAGGAAAACAACTAATGTGTTATTGTAATGTTATTTACTGTTTTGGAGAATTGTTTGATCATGTTAAGACTAACAATTGATTGGTCAATGGGAATAAAAAAAGTAGACCAATAGATTCTTTTGTTTGTTTTGAACCAATTTAATTAAGATTAAATGTTTTGAGTCCCTTGCTGTTTCTCAAACAATGATTAAGATTGTTTTTGAATTATTGCTTTTGTGTCAAAAGGATCGGCCAGTACTTCCAAAGACAAATATTCCACTAATTTTTTCCTGTTTATTTATTTTATTTAGTACTGAATGAATCTGGTATGGAATGCCATATACGACTGCCAACTGCTGACTGCTTACTGCCAACTGTCAGCTGCTTATGCCTAGGTCACATTTAAGCCGATGGTCGGGCGACTAAATTTTTCTGGTCTTGTCGGCTGAAAGAACATGATCGGGCGACACAGTATTGGGCGACACGGAGCAGTCACATTCATTCCTAGGGACACCGATGACTTGGATAAATAAAACAAAAAAATCTTTTTTCTTTAGAAATCAGCAATTTTTTTTCATAGATCTATATTCGGATAGGTGACGTGAGTAATGTTTGCAAGACAAAGTCGCAGAATCTTATAAAATTGTGACTCAATATTGAAAATGTGTGCAAAATTTTGTATGGAATTGCATAAAAAACGACAAATGGCGCATATCTAAGCAGCAAAGAATACTTGAGATTTCTTTATGTCTTACGGATGTTATTTCCGTTCAAAAAATATATATCAATCCATGCATCAAAATTTTGTTTGTATGTATCCTTAATAGGTTAAATATTCACAAGTCGGCCAATCGTCGCGCGATCATCGAGCTCTGAGCTACAGTTTGATTTTAACCGTCGGCCGAAATTTTAAACACCTTTATTGTCCAACGACGGACGACCGATTCAATAAACTGACCGCCGAAGGTCGGACGATGATCGAAGGTTGGTCGACGGATAACTTCAATTGAAGAAATCGGCCACCGACGCATAAAAAATTATAACTTGGACCGATGGACACAAAATTGGTCGGCCGACAAAAAAAGAGGTCAAAATCGGCCAAGACAACGGCCGATGAACTGACGACTGTCACCCGAAGAATTCCATTTTTGCTTCAAAACCCGTCGGCCGTTGGTCGTTTTTAGCAATGTGACTGGGGTTTTACTGCCAACTGCCACCTGCCACACATATTTGAATAAATTTTATTTTTATATTGATATTTATGTAAATTTAAAAAAAAGGCGCGGATCAATAGGACATTTTTTTCCAAGAGGGTCACTCTGGTAAAAAAAAAAAGTCCAACCCAGAAATTTCTTGACAAGAAAAAAATAAGTAAAGTCCTTTCCTAAATGTGAAAATTTATTTCGGCCGGGGAGAGGGGGTTCTTATGCGTCATACCTTCATGTGTATGACACTTTTCATACCAACTTAACATGAATCCACATTTTGGGGAGGGGGGGGGGTTCTAAGGTCCCTTTTAGTTGATTTATTTCATACATTAAATAACTTTTAGTTGGTTTAGTTTGTGCATTAAATGACTTTACAAATTTCAGAGGGGTGTTCCGGACTCTCTCTCTAGATCTATGCATGTAAAACATATTTTATTTGTACAAACAAAGAGATATAAATGTTTGATCGGCGTTTTCTAAGTGGAGGGTCCACACCCCTGTCAACGCGCGATCGGCAACGCGGATGCGATCGGCAACGCAGATCAAAACATTGAAGAAGAAAGTATTGTAGGGGGTAAATTTAAAAAGTTTTGTATGTGCTGGAGTGTAACCAGCTGAAAATAAAATTAGCAAACATTTAGTTTAGATAATTATCTACAGTTTGGGATTTACCGAGAGTAAATTTGTTTCACAGTTTCTGTGCAAATGCTACCGATCAAATCGACATTGTTCAAAATATCAAATTTTCATGCTTTGAAATAGTTTATTGTTGTTATTACCTAAGAACATTTGTTGCTTTTGTTATGTAACGGTTCTTGGAAGTATGAACTAAATGATTTTAAAATTAAAACTACATACATTATCTTAAAACAAATTTTAACTGGAAAATTTGACAACCGCGAGGCGATCGTCAACGACATTATCTTTTTATGAAGCGATCGTACAACATAGAAATAGCGATCGTACAACAAACGAAATAAGGATAGCACAAATCAGAGAATTTTGTTGTCAAAAAGTTTATTTTGATATACAGTAGATATTTTACATTTAAAATAGGCAATCAGTCATTGTTATGTACCTTTTCAACTCTTAAAATTGTCCTACATCAATATAGAAAATTGAAATTAACTACGTAGATTAAAGAGATACAATTGAAAAAGAGTTTGATGGCTAACAAAAATGTAAAGTAGAAATTTTACCTCAATTTTCATAACAGTGTCACCCCTCCCCCCCCCCCCCCAAAAAAAAAAACCCTTAAATATCTTAGATGGTTTATCATGCAAAGTGTAAGTAAAGGAACATTTTCTAAACTCAAAATTCAATTTCGGAAATGTGTTGTGTGGGATGGAGGGAGGGGGTGTTATGATTCAAGTTCTTGAACAACCAAATTTATCCAAAAAATACCATCTGCCTTACCCGGATTTGACAGTATACTGCAAAAGGGGGACAATTAACCAGTCTATTGGTTTAGCCCCCCCCCCCCACCATTTCAAATTAGCCCCCCCTTTAATTTGCTTCCGACGCCTATGAAAGTAAAGTTTTCACCACGACCCCATCCCCGATTCTACAATGTACATGTACGTGCATGATATTAAATCTGGCAATTAATTAGAAAAAATAATACTAATAAAAATACAGATAACAGTTTTCAGTAAATTAAAATATATCATGTAATACATAATGCTGTTATATTATTACGTGCGTGTACAACACATTTTTACTGAAAACATTTACTGAAAATATTCGGTAAAGTTGCTACATGTAGGTATGCAAATTCCTTTGATCGTTATTTTTATAGTATTAATACATATCTTTTTTATTTTCTGTAAAAAAATACAGTTTTTGATATGTATGCCACCTCCTGTAATTGAACTGCCATATCATAGACACAGGTGCTCGAGGACAGGACCCCCCCCCCCCCCCCCAATATAGACCCCCAGGCCTGTTAGAATTTTTTCACATAAATTATATATGAATGACACATTTGTGATATAATCTATCCTATCAATTCAGAAAATTTGCTTTAACTTACATTTTATGAAAATATCTACCCTCTCTCTATATAAAAAAATTTTACATAGAGAATGTAGGGTAAATTTAATAGAACATTTGTTTTAGGTAATTTTACGAATTGCTGGTATAGATCTTATCAAAAATGTGGCAATGAAAGATTTTTTATGAGAAAAAAATCTAAAAAGCCCAGTTTTATATGTTGAAAGGTGGGGGGGGGGTTCCTGTCCTCAAGCACCTGTGATCATAGACAATAAAATCTTTTTTTCTATATTGTTAAAATTCGGTCCTATAACACTCTATAGGTATCTGTTTTAAACAATAATCAAATAATATCAAGTTTTAGGGTTCCATGGAGTTTTAAATTTTGTTCTCTTAAAATACGGACATTATTCAACTAATATACAAAAACGTCAGTTAAATTCGCTCTTTCTCTCTCGAAAATCAAATGTTTGGTATATCGTTCTATTTCGACAGACTTTCCACCCATACCACATGGCTGTCTATTACTTTTTTTTCATTAAAAGTATTTTATAAATTTCAAGTTGCACGATCGCATGTTTATCATATTTTCTTTGTTGTACGATCGCATATAGAGTCGTTGCCGATCGCCAAAACGTTTGGCATGTGTTCACTTCAAACCGTTATTTCAACGCTTTCTATTTGATGAAGAACTTCAAATCGGATTTAAAATTTATGATTTACCTATTTACAATGCAAATGTGCCTTTTGGACTGTCGGGTATACGTAATAAGGTAAGAAATACCACTTAAACGAGCTTTATGTGTCACGTTAGGGCAGTCATGTTCAAGGAAAACCTAACTTTAATATAAGATATGGTGATTTTTAATGCGTAGGGGACTTTTATGGTGTTGAACATATCTAGTAGCATTTAAAAAGTCAGAAATGTTGAAGGATAATTGCGAGGAAATAGGACAAAATAATGTTTTATTTAACCTCATCTTCCTCATGTAGTTGAGTTTAGCTATCCGCGTTGCCGATCGCATCCGCGTTGCCGATCGCGCGTTGACAGGGGTGGTCCAAGGCTAGTTATACCAGTAGTTCGTTTAGTTCATTTAATGTATGACTGTACAAATTTTAAATGCCCCCCCCCCCCCCGATCTATGCATGTGAAACATTTAATTATAACACACAGAGATATACCTCTTTAATTTTGAGAAAATTTTTAACTATAGAATATAATGGAAAACGGAAATTTATTTTCAAAACATCTTTCTCTGCGAAACGACAAATCTTTTTTATTATTATTCTCTCTTCAAAGGTTTTGTTGTCTCCGGGGGAGGGCTTCTTTAAAGATTAAAAGCAGAAAATAGTCATTTTATTACCTATTTCAAATAGGAAATCAAATTAAAAAAAATGAACAATGTACTTTATCAACCGCATACATTGAATATTACATAAGATAAAACATATTGGTCATTTTATTCCATTCAATTTTACCAGTGTGACCCCCTTGGAAAAAATGCCCTGGATCCGTGCCTTTTTTTCCTTTTTTGTGAACATTCATATAAATATCAATACAAATATAAAATTTATTCAAATATGTGTGGCAGTTGGCAGTAAGCAGCTGACAGTAAGCAGTAAGCAGTTGGCAGTAAACAGTTGGCTGTCGTATATGGCATTCCATAATCTGGTAAGGAGCTTATAAAAGCTTGCCTTAAACTCTAAATCTGACATTTTTAGCCGGGCTTATTGCTCAAAGAGCAATTGCCGGCTTATGTGATCCTGTTCAAGGCAGGATGTTGACCCCATAGTCGCCATTTTAAAGTTACGTGCAAAAATATAGTTCTTACTCTCAACCGCTTTTGAGATAATACAAACGCTAAATAAAGCAACAAAAATAAGACGAAGTTTTATCTTTATAAAATAAACAATAGTAGTAATGACTTTGA